AGTTGATCACGCTACCACGCCAAAGTTTACAATGCATTTCATACCTAATATTTTTATTGCTATAAGTACCGCACAGCGCTGCCTGACGGTCCACGGAGCTTTGCTTAATTGCACTATTTTAGACCAAATAAAACGCCTGATCACCCGCTGTTATTAACCACCACAACCATCCTTACCGACTGAACATCCCTCCCATGAAAATCAACAAGCATGCAATGAAATACAGCGATAAAACCCGCCGTAAGAGTTGAAAATCCCGCGACGCCTTGTGGCTCGTTGCGTCACCGCCTTCGCTCCCTTAGCGGCCCGACGTACAGACGACCTCCTGGCCCGTGCCCCCTGACACAAAAGTACCCTCGGGAGTCCCAGGGGCATTGGGCGAAGAAGACAGCATTGGATAAGAGGCAATAAAGGGAGAAGAGTGCAAAAAAGAGCTTAGATTAAAAATGGTCCTTCGTCTGTCTTCTCGCGTAGGACTCCTCCTGAGGGCGTCGAGGACCTCCTTCGGGGCGGCGGACTCGAGGGCCTTCGCCGCTGGAGGAGGGGGGGGAGGCGGGGGAGGGGAGCTGGCGAAGACCGAGGGATCCTCTGCTGCTGCTCCTGCTGCTTCTGCTCCCAAGGGGAACATCGGTGAGAGGATCAAGGGGGAGAAAGCATTGAAAAATCCTGGTCTATTGGATTTTTTTTTTTTTTTTTTCATATATCTGCTTCTTTATTGGACCGGTTTTGTGTGTACTAATTAATTTTATGATTAGCGTTTGATTGAATTGTCATTATATTTTATCTGTGGCATCTGTTTATCTAATCCATTGCCTTGAAATACTGTTTATCATAGTAGCTGTGTCTTCAATATACCTGCCTTTTTATATATGAATGAAATGTTAGGAGATATAGCACAATTATTAAATATTAAGTGTTCATATAGGTTATTAGTTACTTATCCTAGCTTAGGTGGAGGTTTGCTCGGTAATGGCAAAGCGCCGTTTCACTAAATATGGTTCTTAGATTTGTTATATTAAAAAAATAGAAGAAAATCTGACAGTTGGTTCATTAATAACTAAAGAAAGGAAGTAATTATACAGATTGATATTTATTTACTGCTTTATAATTTTCAATTCATTATGCAGTTGCGGACATACACTACACGCAAAATAGCCGTTTTTAGAAGTAAAATATGAATAAATATTGGTATATAGAGCACAAAAAAAGGAAAAAGTTTTAAAAAAGTAGAAACAAATCAAGAAAGAAAAAAAAGTGTCTGGATAACTCTTGCGGCTAATATTACATTTTGAGGTTTCTCGGGTAAACCAATCTATGATATCTAACGTTTTGCTGGACAGAGACATTGCTTAAAGCATTTTGGTAGTTTTTCTTTTTTATTGTTACTCTTATCTACCATTATCAACATTATCATTATCATAATAATGATAATAATAATAATGACGATAATGATAATAATGATAATAATGAAGATAATGGTAATAATGATGATAATTATAAAGATAATGATAATGATGATGATGATAATTATAATAATAATAATGATAATAATAATGATAAAGATAATGATAATGATTGTTATTGTTATGAAAATGATAATTATCATCATTATAGCTGTTGTCGGTGATTTTATTATAGTTATTACTGATGTTATATGTTATTGTTATTACTAGTTCTTCTACTCCTATTTCTGTTTCTGTTTGCATCTGTCTGTTTAAATTGTTATTACTATTAGTATTGCCATTACTATTAGCATTAGTATTAGTAACACTCTCACTCTCACTATTACTAACCATTACTATTACTATTACTATTGACACCTAATACCATTCCTATTCCTAATCCTACTGCTATTGCTATTACTACTTCTACCTATATTTCTGTTTCTGTTTCTACTACTGGAACTGCGACTACAACATCTACTATTTATTATTTACTATATCCATTACTGTTTGTTACTATTCTTATTAATATAGTTATTACTAAAACTATCACTATGTGTATTATTTTTATCATTGTTATTATAATAATAATAATAATTATTATTATTATTATTATTAATTTTATTATTAGTATTATTGTTATTATTATTTATCATCATCATCATTATCACTATTATTATTACTATTATTTTTACTGTTATCATTGTCATTATTACTATGATTATTATTTCAATTATCATTATCATTGTTGTTGCTATTAACACCCACTTATGTTAAACTGCTCTATATTATAAAAAGGAGAAAGCTATCTGTATTTCAGTAGATTCCGTGGACTCACACATCTCTCTTTTTCCTCAGGATTAAGGGATCATCGAATCAACAGGTTTGAGAAATTTTTGATGGTGTGGGGAGGAAAATACAAGTCGATGGTTGACGTGCCAGATTTTGTCAGGTGAGCAATTGGGGAGATTTTGTCTGTGATTTTTACCAGTGGGAATGAAAAGTATGGATTTTAAGAAAGGAGAATGAATTTGTTACTGATTTTGGGAGAATTTTGTTGTATATATTCTTTTTATTCATTTTTTTGTTTATGTATATATATATATAAATATGTTTTTTTTTTTGTTTTGTTTTTTGGTATATATCGAAGTTATATGGTTATATGGAATAGGCAATTTATTTATAGTATTTAGAACATTACTATGGGATGTTGAGAAGTATTGGTTTTGAGTCATTTCTGGACCCATGACCCTGTTCACAAAAAAATCATGCAGTTGCTATAGTCGGCACTCTCTCCGGCACTCTAGATTTTTCTATTTTTTTTCTATTGGATTTGTTTCAAGATTTACCATTTTTTTTGTTTCATGGGACTCGTTGTTAGGATTATTGATACTGTTTTAAAGAATGCCTTTTTTTCATAATGATGTAAAACACCTTATATGCCATGATATTATTTTATTTTAAAAATTTGTATTTATTTTCTTTATTTTTTTATGACTGGAGAGTCTTCTTGGCACCTTCTATATGCAGTTAGTTATTCTTACATTTTCCCCTTAAAAAAATCCCTATTGTAATGCACTTTAAGCTTGGAATAAGATTGAACCTTCATTTTGAAACTGATTATGTAAAGTTTCCTTTAAGTCTGAAAGTGAAACATCATGAGAATTAAAGCTATACTTGAAAGTCATGTTCTTTAATTAGCTATAAGGCAAATTTGTTAATGTAAACTGGCACCTTTATTTTATTATAGGCTAATACCAGGAGTTTCATGTTTTAACCCAATGCCTCTGGGGAAAATTAATAAAAAATGGGGAAAATGCTGTGCTCATTTTCTATATTTTTTGTGAAATGTCTCTGCACATAGATGGCTCTGCTAATGCTTAGCCCCAAAGGAGTAAATTAGTAGATTTTGTGACTTTACCTGATATCTCCTTTCCTTGAATTAGTGGGAAAAACGCATTTTTTACTAATGCTATGAATATCGATGGTGGTATTTTAATTATAAACATTATGATCACTATAATGTTATAGACATTAGTAACAGCAATACAAGATAAAGTAAGATATTTTTAAAAATCAAGAAAAAGGGTAAACAGGCGAGACAGGCAGTACTTGTAATTGGCTCGGTGGTGACTTAGTAGAAGTGTAGCCATCTAAGTGTGAAAACAATTGATAAAATAAACTCACATTGGTCATAACATGTATGTACATGCCATGCCCATTGGCTTTGGCCTAACCTCAGATGCCAACACATTTGTAAAAAATAATCAACCAGTGTATCAGTCACTCGGTTACATATAAATGTTCCCTCCTTCTGCCTTCAAGCCAAGACTCGTTGGAACGTGCCCGCAACAAGGCAAGAATCAAGATCAACCTGCTCATGGGCCTGGCAACCCTGATCGGATGCTTCTTCATGATCCTGTCGGGAAAGAAGGCACAGAGAGAAGGGCAGTCGGTCGTCAAGATGAACGAGGAATGGCACAAGAAGATGAGGGAAGAAGCCAGTAAGGCCAAGGCTAATACAGAAGGGGAGAAAGCGTCTTAGAAGCGCGTTAGGTTCGTATTGAGAGTTGTTTACCGTTAGTGATGTGAATTATTATATTTGTAGAGGGAGGGCAATGGTGATATGTAAATTGGTGGAATATATATAATACTCTTATTTTATATGCCCTGGTTTGAATAGCAAATTGAAGTGACCTAGGTAATGTATATTTTTAAAAGTTAATGTAACTATCAAAAATGTATATTAACTTTCAATACACTTGTATATATATATTATATTATATTATCCTCTGGCATGTATTTTATATATTACACAATTCCTTTTTTATAACAATGCAAATGTAAAGTTATTTACCATAAGCTCCTTTAACTATTACTGTTATTATTATTATTATTTATCTTTTTATTTTATTGTTACCAGTTTGTATGTGAGGAATGAATTGTAAAACATAGATTTTTGAAAGATGTCAATGAAAATGTGAAACATCAAGATTTATCTTTTATTTCCCTGCGAAGAAAATCACAGGTGATCTTTTGAGCTTTTGTTTAATCTTTATACTTCAGGCTAACCTTTGCTTTATATTATTATTTACTTCAGATTATAACATTCTTGCCAGATTTTCTTAAGAGTATGGTGATTCAGTCAGAATACTTTGACAGTTTTTTCTGTGTGTTTTGATTTTTAAAGAAAATTATTTGGCCACAGATCTCTTCAGAAATCTTTTTCTCATTCACCTGCAAGATGGATTTGTATACTTAGAATAAAAATTTGAAGATCCTTGTAATGTGGGATGACTGACTAGATTTTTTCTTAACCTTCTCATGTTTGACGAACTCTTTATCACATCATGACACTATTGTCATCTTGTGCCAGCTGACATGCTATCACATAATTTGCAGTTGAGCCAACTCTTAAGTTACGCACTGGATAGTTGTTCATTTCTTTGTGCTCAACTGCATTCATTGAGGAGAAACCCTTCCAAAGTAGGCTTAAAAACACTTTTTAGACTTGGACCATTTATGACTGTATAAAGATGGGTTATGTTTACATAGGAAAAATGTATGTTTTTGGGGCTTCTAATTTTTCACTTTGAGTGATCAATTACACATGGGGAAAAAAGTGGAGGTTTTTAGCTTGGTATATCCTCTTATGAGTCATACAAAGTATTTCTTTGAACTATTTTATTTTAACTTTATTGTCAAAAGTTACACTTATGCTAATAGGTCAATTACTTGTGTTTGTAAATCACCACTTTTCCCTGATTTTATAGCTTAAGAAAAGCTCTCTGGTGCATACATTTTCTGCAGCTTTTGTTAAAACCATATCCTTCCTTTATAAGTTGGGACAAAGTCAGATTCTGTGACATACTTTCATTGTGAGGCTGCAAATATTTGTTGCCAAATTTACTGGTAAGATTTAATGCTAATTTCGATGATCTTCATATTTACATCCGTAGTATTATACTGGTTATAAAAAAAAAAATAATAAATTGTTTGAACAATACTGTAGTTTTTTTTCTTTCTTTTTATTGTAATATATTTCCAGTAGCATCAAATAGAGCATTTCTAAAATATCATCAATGAAAGTGATCTGCTTTACCAAGAATTTAAGCCCATTTTTTTTTTTTTTTTTTTTTTTTTTTTCCAGATGGATTTGATAATTATTTATATATGAATAATCATTATATGTATTCTTTACTGAAGTTTTAAAATAATTTACTCAGTCCCCTTTGATTTTACATGTTACTTTGGATCTTTATAAATGTGAACTGTATTCACTGCCAAATGAATGGTTAATGGTTAATGGTTAAAAGCAAGATAAATGTGCTAGACATCTAAGGTCATGTAGCACTATAGTTAATGTTAGTGAAGGGTGGTTGAGTTAGTGATTAGTTGTCTAAGCTGGGCAAAGGAATTAGTGAGTGAAAGGGTTAAGGTCGGGTGTTATATTAGATAAAGGGTATGCATAAGAAAGGTTTCTTGAGGCATACAATAGATGGGTTATAAGAGGAAAGGATATGATGGTCAGGTCTGTGGGAGCGGAAACTGCGAATATTCCAATGAAGGATAGTTATACTTTCGTTGATTTAGTGATATAGATTGTAGTACGTGTTGGAGAATTTGAAGGGGAAGCAGCTAGAGGGTGGGATAAGGACTGAGAGGTTTGAGATGGGAGAGGTGTGGGAGTTGGTGTTCTATCAGGAGGGGTAGTAGGAGATGGAGGGTCTGAGGAAGGGGATACTTGTGACATAAGGGATTCACATGTGTATCCAGGAGGGAGTGGAAGGGATAGAGGGGATGGTGGGAGAGTTAATGTGGGCAGGGTTGGGGTCAGGGGGGATGGGCTGTGTTGGGAGGGGGTAGGAGGGTAGGGTGTAGGGGGGATATCGTTAGGAGGAGGATGGATATCAGCAATTACTTGGAGTGTGGAAGGAGCAGGAGTTGTAGGTTGAGTGTCGGTTTTCATTAAGTAATCTTGAATATTTTCAATAGTTTCTTCTGTGGAGTTGGTTGGGGAGTTTTGGGGGATAAAGGATTTCTTGTGAGGGGGGGAAGAGAGGACTGGTGTCTCAAGAGTACGGGCAAAGGATGGTGGGGGTGATTGTGTGGTAGGGGAAGAGGGGGTGGAACGTTTGTTCTGTCTGTTACGGGGAGTGCGAGGAGGGAGAGGGGAAGGTGTTGGGGTTGTAGTGGTGATTGGAGTATCTGTAGTAGAGATTGGAGTTTCTGGATTTAGGATGGCAAAAGAGTTTGACTGGGGAAGGTAGGTGGGGTTAGTGGGGGGGTTAGATGTAGGAGGGGTGGGTTTAGGAGAAGTGTTAGGATGAGCAGTATTACTGGAGTAAGGAGTAAGAGAGAATCCACGTCGACGTGCTTCCTGTCTGGCTTCACGCAGTGTGAGTCCGAGTTTGAATCTGAGAGTTGCTACCTCAGATTCAAATTTGTAGGTGGGACAGCCCCTATAAAATACATTATGGGGGCCGCCACAGTTGGCACATGTGCGTGATTGTGCAGAGCAGTTAGATCGGGTATGGCCAGGTTGGGCACATAATGGGCATCTGGCTGTGGAACGGCAGTGTTTGGCTGGGTGTCCTAGACGCCAACAATTTTGGCACTGACGTGGAGGAGGTTGGTATGGACGAACAGGGAGGGATTCTCCTCCTATGTAGACGTTAAAGGGAAGGTCATGTCTACGGAAGGTAATTTTGGCTATGTTAGTGGGTTTCTTTCGATGACCTCTGGGGGGGATGGAATAGCATTGTACTGATGTTGCATCGTAGTCTGTGAGACAGGCAAGTAGATCTTCTCCACAATCTGACCATTCTTTGTCATAGATTGGGCAATTTGTTGGTGAGATTGAGACTGTTCCGGTGCAAGTATTGAGGGTTGGATGGGGTTCTGCTAGGATGGGGTTACCATATAGGTCAGTTAGTTTTGTTAATGCTATGGCTTGGTTTTCGGATGTTACTGTTACAAGACGGGAGCAGTCGGGTCGGCTACGGAAAGAGACTTTACCTACTTGTTTTTGGAGGCATTGTTGGAAGAGAAGGGTGTTGTTAGAGTAGGGAGCTGTGGGAGGGATCACGAAAAATCAGTCCCATTTGGCTGCACTGAAGAGAGTATTCAAGATTGTTTTAGAGATAGGGGTGGTAGAAGGGCGAGGGCGTGACGAAGATGGAGTAGTGTTGATGGAGGTAGTGTTATGGAGAGGTGGGCTATAAGGCTGTAAGGTATTAATAAGGGAGGATGGGGTGGTTGATGTTGGAGGTTGTGGGGGTAGAGGTGTTGAAGTTGGGCATGCTGGGAGAGTGGAAATGTCCCTTGAGGGTTGATTGTTGGCTACTGTACTAGTAGGCATTGGTGAAGGGGTAGTTATTGCAGTGTTTGGAGCCGTGGTCAAAGGAGAGCCTGGGGTCGGGGAATCGGGTGGGTTTACTTCGTTGGGGCTATTTGATAAAGGGGCAAGCCTCATTGCCCCTAACAGTGGGGATATATTTTCATTACTGGCCATAGGAAGCCTGGATTATGTTGGGGATAAAAGCAGTCCACCCCTCAGGGTCCCCTTGAGGGGTAAGGGCTAGATAACTAAATCAGGGGAATACCGTGCCCATGGCTCCCTCAGGCCGTTCAGGACTGGCACAAAGTCAGCCTTTCATCCTTTCAGCACGGCTCTCACACCTTAGGAGGTGGATAGCAGAAGGGTTTGGTGAAGGGACAGAAACAAAAGTGGGAAGGGAAAAAAAGACCATGCATAATTAGTTGAGTCGAGGGCTGAGTCCCAAGGTTGGGGAGTTCCCCATCATTGGGTCCCAGTCTCCGCCTCCTAAGCCCCCCCACGACAACAACGGGCAAGGGATTGGGGGGGCTGCCAAATGAAGAAAAGGTATGTATTTGACCCGTTTTCATTATATAATTGTCAAAAATACATGTATGTCTGACAATGATATAATTAAAATCAGTCATATACATCTCTTGTAATGTGAAGATATTCATTCTCATTTATACCTTTTCTACTTGTATTTTTGATAGGTTAAAATAGGAACTGTATTGGCAAAGACTATAATTCCCGTCTTTTATTCAACTTTTCTTTTCATATCTGGTAAAGGAATCATTGAAAGTAAAACACCATTAGTTTTAGTGAATGTTACACAAGTTTTTATTTAGATAACACCATGTATATGTTGGTTGACATATTCAACATTTGTGTTCCATGTGTGTGTCATGTGTGTGATGTATAATGTATGTAAATATACATCTTATTTTAATCATTAGTATGTATAAACTTTTTAACAATACAGTAACATAACAGAACTATATATAAGCAAATACATAGGCACTTCACCATTATTTCTTTCTTAGATTATAATAAAATATGAAAGGGGAAAAAAAAGGAAAGAGAAAGATTGTAATAAGAAAAATGAAAATAAAGGTCAACAAAGTTACATGCAAAAATGAACCCCCATGAGAATACTAAACCTTAACCCTCTTGTACTGACTGGATATTATAATGTCATAGTAAACTGGGCCAAATGTTGGGAGAAAAGCACCCATTCTATAAGTCAACCCTGCTCCAAGATATGCAAGCTAAATATATATATATTTTTTTTCTTATTGAGATTGAGATTAAGGTATAAAGTCTCTTTCTAACCTCATTTCCTAAAAATAGAACACAGACAAAAGTGTAGAGACTGAGGTAAATGTGTTTCCTGTACTGACAGCACACAAGCTGGGCATGTGGCTTGGCATGGCACGGAGATATCCCAGTGTGAGTGGGTTAATGCTTTATTAACCCATTTACAACAGAAGAACATCATGTCACGGTAGACTGCCTTGATATCAGAAGTAGACATAAAGTTTCTTTTATCTTCATTACCTAAACAATTGAGCATGGAGGGCATAGAGAGCAGGGTAATTTGGTTTACACACTTCTAATTTTCCCCATAAGCCGCTGACTGTGTGCGCGCCCCAGTGTGGTTCAGCATGTTGCCTGGGGAGGAAATATAACCGGCTGACTTCAAGCTGGAAAGGGAATAATCTCTTCTACTGTGAGATATATATGACATTTTATTATTATTAACCCCTAAAGTCCTATTTACCATGCTCTTGGCAGGCTGGTTAAAAACTGATAGGATTTTCCCCCCTGCAACTTTTCCATTATGAATTATTGTCCACTAATATATCTGGTACTGTTTGTCAAGTTTCCTTCATCCACAACCAAAATATCACTCCCCATTCCCCTACTCTTGTATATATCCACTGCCCGAACCAATTACGTCATGCTTTCCCGCCTCTACCTTC